ACCCACACCCACTCCCACACCCACCCACACCCCACACCCACACCCACCCCACAAAGGCATCTACCAACAAGAACACCCCATACCCATACCCAAATACAGGCATATATCTCCATACTCGCAGCCACAGCCACAGTCACATCCATACACTCACACCTACCCACACCCTTGAATACGTTTAGTCACGCTAGCAATAGGATAATTGATAGGCGAGGGTATGAGTATTTCTTGTATTTTGTGAGAAAGGCGAAATGTGACCACTATCATTCATTCTTTCCTTGTGAATCAATTGAACGTAACAGACATTAAATATCTTGTTGAAGTGGAAACTACTCAGTGATGCCCTTCAGCAAGGCCGAACCGCGTCGTAGTGGCTGATGCAGACGAGTCGCTCAGAGAATAAATTCCCCTTTCCCACATATGCATCCTCATCAAATAAATAGATGCTTGTCATTCGCATGTTACGCATTTTACCTGTTCTTTATTGAAGAAAAAACTAGAAAAACATGAAAATTGGTCTTAGAAATTTTTATGTAAAACTTTAATCTTGATTACAATAGTTTGACAATAAATCTTTAAAATAGTTTACTAATAATACTACTCAGAACAACTAATAATTTCCAGCTAATTCTTGTTTCATGATATGCATTCGAAAATGAAACCCGCTGAAATTCCATACAAGTTGCTTTGTTTCCATTCTGATCGTATGCTACAATATCAGCATATTTTCTACAACAATCGTTTGATGACATAAGCATTTGTAAATTAAATTTATTTGTTTCATTAACTACAAACTTAATTGTATCCTTATTTGATTGTAAAACATCTTCACTATCATAATAAGTGAGTACAACTGAATGTAGACCTAGTCGAACATTGGGCGGATAAACAATCGATTTGTTATAGCTATCTGTTACATTCAAAAGAACATCCCAATGTCTCGATGAACATGAACTGATTATACCTTGACACATTTCATTTAGGTTTTTACCCGATGGAAATAAATGTGTACAATGAGGTGGTTCAACATCACTAAAAGGTGAAATGATAGTTGCACGCAGTACATAACCATTGAATGCATCTAACTGAAATGGACTTTTGGCCAGTATAGATATTTCTGAAGTATAATCAATCAGTGTCAAATTATTTGAAGCTTTTAGTTTAAAATAGCTTGTCAGTGTTTTATTTGCTTGTAATATGAACTGACTTGTATCCAGTGTTATAGTAAAAAGAGGAAGCGATTGTACAATTGAAATATCGATAGTCAAGTCATTTGGATTATGATTATTCAGTGTAAAACCAATTTTTGCTTCTTCTCCGGGTTTCATATATGCTGACGAGTGACTATCAATAGTAACACTTAGTTCTAGTGTACGGGGTATAATTTTATGAGAATACAAACGTTCAATAATTTCATTTTTATCATTTTTTCCATGTACTTTGATAAAAAAATCAACCAATGGTATTTCAGTTTCACTTATATAGATCAATTCATTGTTTTTAGTTAGTTTATATTTTTCTAAAATATTATTGGATGAATCAACAAATTCTAATTCATCTAATACGATCCTTCCTATTGTTGTTTGAACAACTCTGATTAAACTGTACAATTTATAACCTTTAATTGGGTCTGTATCAATTGATTGTAGGCCAGGGTGAGCTGATTCATTGTTTAAATTATTGAAAGAATGTTCAAATTGTATTGAAGTGACTAACGT